AAGTTGAGTTAGAAAAGATGTAGGTTTTACTTCGGTTTCGACTAGATTACAGATATGCTCCCTTCCCTTCAAATCATATATACAATTCTTCTTGTTCTTGCTTAGGTTGTCATTTTTTAGCAACGAAAGTGGGACTGATCTCTACATTCAAATAGACAATATCCATTTTTTTAAATGTATAATGGCCACACGGTGAATTGAAGCATACACTCAAAAATTTTAGTCAACTCAAATTTAAGTAAAGAAGCTTTGGTCTATGAGCTCTAAATTGTCCAGAATACTGTCATGGAAATTTGGGGAGTGTTGAAAAGTTTTCAGAAAAACATAATGCAAATATTTATATGTATTGACTGAATAGGTATATCTGTAATTTTACATTTCTCTTCATATAGATACATTTTGGTGCAGATGGTCATGACCAGCTGCCCCATAGCAAGGTAAATATCAAATAGCAGTTTCATATTAGTCTAATGTGAGATTATAATGTAATATGAAATGTGATGTATTTGTTTTCTACATTTGGAAATGCCCTTGCTTCAGTTTTGTCTTTTTCTTTTTCATTTCCTTCATCTATGTGCAGCATAGTATGAGAATGTTGTGTGATAAATACTTTGTCCACATTTCAAAGCTATGTTTTATATATTTCATATATATTCATTTTACTTCCCAAATGCAGAAACTGCTTGGTGGAGATGGACATGATGAGCAACCTCATGGCCAGGTGAATAAGGAATTCAAGTTTCTGTTGAATTTGAGAAGTGTTTTTATTTTTTATTTTGTGTAGTCACATCACATTGTTGAATTTGATCTGTGTATGTGCATGTAACTTTGTTTGTTCATTTTTTTTCTAGAAAATTGTTTTAGATAGATTAACGTTCTATTTTGTTGCAGAAACTTCTTGGAGTAGATGACCATGATCAGAGAGCCCATAGTCAGGTAGAAACAAAATGTTTTATGGTTCTGGCAATATTTGTACCAAAAGCTGATATTATAAATCATATTTGAAAGGAAATCTATTTCCTTTTTAACACAAGATAACACAAGATAAGCACCGTATTGAGTTGTGGACAGAAGAATCCTATTACTATTTGATATGATATATTCTGTATTTTCTTGTTCTTACAGGTTCTCCTTGGTGGTGATGGCCATGATCAGAGGCATCACAGCCAGGTATATATGAACTGGCTTCTGTTTGTGAGAGAGAGACAGACAGACAGACAGACAGACAGACAGACAGACAGACAGACAGACAGACAGACAGACAGACAGACAGACAGACAGACACACAGACAGATAGAGCTGACCTAGACCCAGAGAGGTTTGACTTTAATGATATCCTTAAGATATATTAACATGTTATAAAAGACAGAAAAGATTTAATGTAGTACTTCAAAAAGATTAACCTATATTGTGATAGGGAGAAGATTTGATTTAATATGGAAATACACTAACATGTTTTAGAAGAAGTAAACAATTTGTTTTGTTGACAGCCACTTCTTGGAGCAGATGGTCATGATATGCGACCCCATGGACAGGTAAGGTGACCCAATACTTTGTGTTAATGAAGGTCATATGAGAGAGAGAGAGAAAGAGAGAGAGAGAGAGACAGACAGAGAGAGAGATAGACAGACAGAGAGAGAGAGAGACAGACAGACAGACAGACAGATAGAGAGAGAAAGAGAGAAAGAAAGAGAGAGAGAGAAAGGGAGAAAGGAGAGAGAGATAATAGAGATAAGATGCGTTTCTTTTTTGAAAACCTACCCTTATATTTTGAATGAAAAACAGTGTAGATATGATAATATATATTTGCAATAACATTTCTTTCAGGTTCTAAATAATGGATAGATCTTTTTGAGGGCAGAGAATGTGCCCATACAACTTTCTTATGAAGTGGAATTAGGTTAAAGTGTAATTTTCTTATTGTGTATAATGAAGTCAAGTAATATGTCCCCTACTGTGTCAGTTAGGGTACCAGTTATATCCTTTTATTTATTAACTTATTTATTTATTTGTTTATTTATTTATGTATTTATTTGTTTATTTGTTTATTTGTTTATTTATTTATGTATTTATTTATTTATTTATTTATTTATTTATTTATTTATTTATTTTCTCTCTTTTCAATGCGAAAATGTTTTTTATGTATACTATATTACATGTAAAAGTGCTGAAATTTTATCCTGTAAAAAAAGTCACTTGAAGATTAAGAAGTAAACAAAACTGAAAAAAAACACAAGTCTACACTGCAAGAAGAACAGCTTTAGAAGGAGGGTGAGGGTGAGGGTGAGGGTGAGAGAGAGGGTGAGAGAGAGGGTGAGGGTGAGGGTGAGAATGAGTGTGAGGATGAGTGAGTGAGAGAATGAGTGTGAGAGTGAGTGTAAGTGTGAGAGTGAGTGTGAGTGTGAGAGAGAGAGAGAGAGAGATAGAGAGAGACTAATTATATATACTTGCATCTTTTTTTTTTTTACTTTCTATCATATTCACTTGGCATTGGAGAAAA